ATGTACTCCATGATAAGGGGAACTATCAAAATAAATGATGTTTTTATATGATGAGCTTTGTCTTGTAAAAATATTTGTTGAACGATGTTACTCTGAGTGAGCTTAAAAAAAGAATACATCTATGGAAAGATTTGGGCATTTCAAAATAAAGAAATTTAAATTGAGAATATATTTTATTTATTAGAGCTTGCTTTCAACTTATTAGGTACCTCAGCACTTAGAGAGAAAATTTTCAATTAAAAATACCATGGTCTACAGAGAAGCATTAAGGGTGTCAATAATTTCAAATTTATTCAAATGTGAGGAAAATTTCAGGAAATTTTTTTTTTAAGATTTTATTTATTTATTTTGACAGAGAGAGACACAGTGAGAGAGGGAACACAAGCAGGCGGGAGTGGGAGAGGGAGAAGCAGGCTTCCGGCAGAGCAGGGAGCCCAATGTGGGGCTGGATCCCAGGACCCTGGGATCATGACCTGAGCCGAAGGCAGACACTTAAGGACTGAGCCACCCAGTCACCCCAAAAATAAGGAAAACTCGTTTTAAAAAAATGCATTCTTTGGGAAAATATCAGTATGTGGTGCTAGAGAAAATATACTAAGAAATTTATTAACATATATGAATATGTACTAAGAGTGAGTATGCTGCTTATGCCATTTTTAGCATTCATGTAATTGATAAAAAGGTCTTATAAAATTTTGTATATAAATGTATATTTATGTTAATATATGTAATTGTTATATTTTTGGAAAATAACAGTTGAATAGAACTATTCGATATCTCCACCAATATAACATAATCAAGTTTCCAGTCAATAAATAAATATACATAAGAATTACACAATTTTAATTAACTTTATTGTCTCTCTTTTTTGTTCTCAAAAAATGTCCTGGTTAGGTCAATAAATAGGCCTGCTAAGTGTACACACACACATACACACACATATTAGATATATACATGCACATGTGTCTAATATATATATACACACACACACATTTATATACATAAATATATATATATATTTCCCAACAATGGAGATTTCAGCTTTTGGTGAGAGAGATTTAAAGGCAGCAATATAGTCTAGAAGAGGTGGAAAAAACAAAAAACATCATCGCTTCATATCAAAAATTGGAGAGATAAATGGATATTCCAAAAAGAAAGGAAGGTTAAAGTAATCCCAAGTTTCCTTTGCCCTCCAACAGTCCCCCAGACTTTAAGAAACTGTGCTCATCCTGCCACAATGGTGTATAACCTATCGCTAAGCTCAACATGATGCCAGGTACGTTGGAAGCCTCCAAGTAAGTAATTGTGGAATGAAAGAACAGACAGGCTTTACATGCTGGGAACCTTGCTAAGTGTGGGGAATGCAAGGCTGTGTAGGGCATAGTCCCCTGCTCATCAGAAATTTTTCTATTAAGGAAAGCAAAAGCCATAAAAATGAAATGTGAAATAAACTTTTAAGCCAAAAATAATTCTAAGCGAGTCTAAAGATGAATTACAGCTCAGTTATCCCTGATGCTATTTCAAACAGCATTCTGAGATGGTTAGTTATCATAAAAAAAATAGGCCCACTCAACCAAGTTTCTGTAACTTCTCTATTGGGCAGAAATTATTTTAGTTATTATATTAGCAAATAGTTTAATGGGAATGATAGTATGATGTACATACTTATTTATAATTTTTCTCTAAATATATAATATCACAGCCATGAAATTGAGGGACTCGATGACTATAAAGCTGCGTGGCAAACAAGCTAAGGTGTAATTAAAATTGCTTAAGCAAATGCAAACCAATTTGTATTTTTTTAAAAAATCAAATTTCAACTCTCTAATTCTGGAGATTTTGTATCTTCTGGCTTTTCTGCTTGTGCTTCGGAAAAGAACCTCAGAATTCACAAAAAATAAATTAAATACTAAGACCAACAAGCTTCGAACGCCATGGATAGGCTAGGAATAAACAGAATGGAAGGGTAAGCACAAGCACGATCTATTTGGTTTTATGATTTTCTAGTTAAGTGTGAGAGCTGTACTTTGAAATTCCGGAAAAAACAGATGGGACGCTGGTTTGATATTTCGGAAATAAACATTCAAATTAATGGTGAATGGGAGATGGAGAGCTCATGCCTTTAGCATAAATAATAAAACAATAAAGACAGCACGTTTTCTACTCTCTCAGTTGACAGTACATTTACCTTCCCAGTAGAAATTTGGAATCTAAAGAACCCAGGTCCAAGTGAGTGCAAACAACTGGCTTGTCTAGTTCAACAGTAACTGCCTATAGTCAAGCCTTCTAGGGCAATTCATCTGATTCTAGTCTGACCTCGACTATGGACTTTTTCCCCTATAGTGGCCCCTGTGGGTCATCCAACTGTCCAGGAGGGAAGCAGGCTGCGACCGAATCAAGACTGCTTTCAACCTCCATCTGGTGGAGGCCATGTCCTTTTCATGAGGCGGATGGGAATGTCGCCCTATACCCCTGCTATTTTTTTTTATTTTTACAGTTTCTTCCCAGTTCTTTCCTTGCTTCTCTCAGTCCCAGACTGAGAAAGTAAAAGCATCACGGGAATTTAATGGATTGAAAGGGAACCCGGACCACTGAAGAATAGGACGGGTCTGGAGTGGTCTTTTGGAACAAGGGGTTTAAGGAAGAGGCAAGGGGCAATTCTCTCAGCTCAATTGCCCTTCCTAGGAGCGGATATGGCCCCCAAAGCCAGCGAGTCCCTCCGGCCTGGAAGACAAAGAAAGGCTCAGGGCCCAGTGGTGACGGGGTGGGTGGGGGCAGCGACTCGCGTGAGCTCGGGGACGTGAGAACGCAGCCCCCGCCCCTTTCTCCGCCCCTCCGAAAGGCGGGGCCCCAAGGCCACCCCCGAAAGGTTCCCCAACGACTCCGGCAGCAGGGTCCAGGCGCCCACACACGCCCAGGCACGGGCGGCGACGGGCCGGCGCACTGGGGGTAAGGGAGGGGCAAGGGGAGGAGCCGGCGGGCGAAGAAAGGCCGAGCGGTCGGGTGGGGGCGGGGCCTGGGCCTGGGGGCGGGGCGGCGGAGTGGGGCGGGGCGGAGCCGGCCGAGTCCCGGGCTGCCTGAGACAGTCACTGCCCTGACGGCGGCGGCGGCGGCGGCGGCGGCGGTTGGCCGGTGGGGGTTGGGAGGAGCACGACCAAGGCTGCTGGGGCAGCTGGAACTGGCAGTTGCCGGGGGCCAACAGGAGGATCTGGAGCTGAGAGCGAACCCCAGCCGGGCGGAGGAGGCGGCTGCAGTTGGAGTTCGGAGAGCGCTGGCGGCCGCGGATTCTCAGAGGAGCAAGTGTCGGGTTTAGAGTCAGCAGCGGCGGCGGCGGCCACGGCGGCGGCTGGGGCCGAGGTAACCGAGGGGCGGCAGCGGGGGTAGAAGCGAGGCCCCTCCTCAGGTCGGAAGCTCGGGGGCTGTGGCTAGGCTCGAACCTCGCTCACCCACCCACCCTTTCCAATAGCCAGCCTCAGACCGACTTCTCCCCACGTTCCGCCGTGGGTCGGGCGGGGGCGGGAGCGGCGCGTGTGGTGGGGGCGCAGAGCTGGGCACCAACAGGGAGGCGACCCCTCATCTGGGATTGGCAAGGACGTCGGGCACCCCCTCCCCCCTCAAAAGACACACCCCAAAATCTCGGGCGGGGCGGGGTGTTGGGGCGTTCCCAGCCTTCTGGAAGGGAAGACCTCAGCGTAGAAGCTGCACCTCCGTCCGTAGCTCTTCGAGGTGGCCCCCCTGTGGCTCCTGGAGGCTGCTCAAACCGAAGGTGGTTCCCGTCTCTGGGAATCCCGGAGTTCCTTTTGTCTATCAGCTGAAACTAGAGGCCGGAACTGTAGGCAAACACCCACCAGCCCTGAAGCACTCTACTCCTTACCCCTTTTCTGTCTCGGAAGGAATTCTCCCCATAAGCCTTTTCTCCGGCCACAGTAGTAGATTCCATTCCTCACCCCCATCCGAAACCTTTATCTTTAGCGCAGAGGAAGGAAGAATTCACGTTGTACTTGTGTTTAGATTTATCATTCAACATCATCCCCATCCTCCCCTCAGTTTTTTTTTTTTAACCCATTCTCATCCAGCCCCAATGCTAGTAAGCATCCCCTAGATTTTGCAAACTATCAACAAAGAAGTGTGACTAGTCGAGTAAACAGAGTCCTTGACTGACTGGACTGTGCAGTTTAATAGAGCTTCCTTTAACTGGCGCTGTTCTACCAAGCTAGTCGGAAAGACCTTTTTGGCTGGAGTTAAGGATGTTACTGTGTGTGCATAAAGCCTTTTTTTTCCTTTCTACATAAAGTTTTTTTTTTTTTAAATCTAGAGTAACTTGATTAAAATGTAGCTGTTTGGGGAGCATAACCATAGAGGAAGTAAAATACAGAAAGGGAAATGTAATTATGATTCTGGGGATAATTGTCCAACTTTTTCAAAGTGCCAAAGATGAAGCATATGGATTTTTTTTAAGTATATGGAATTTTGAGATTATTTTAACTGGCAAATTGTATCCTTTGTAAGCTTTTAAGTATACAGGCTCTTAACATACAATATTTTGCACCAAGATATTGTTGTTTTATTTTAATTACTTGTGGAAATTGTTGATTTGCCAGGTATCTTGAACCTAGAAATCTGTGAACAGGTTCATTAAGAATTTACTCCCTTGAAAAATGCATTTTATGAATGCTTTGGATTAAGAAGGTGTTAACAGTGGCCTGTCACTTATTCCACATAGAAGACCATAATCTGAAACCGTTCCCTCCATGGCAATTTCCCAGATGCCTGAAACTGGCAAGGTCTAGTACTTTGAGTGACTATCCCTCAACAGGAAATATAGAGCTACCTATCTGCTGTATACATGTAATCTCTTTGATGGCATTTACTATAATGGACATCTTTTCTGCATCTAATTTTCAGATACAGAATTAACACTTCGAATCTGGAGAAGCATTTTGTACAAATTGAAAGATTGGGCATTCTCTTTAGTTTTCCAGATGTATTGTCTCATCTGCACACTTGAAACATCCACAATCACATAAACTCCAAGATAACAATGGAGTTATGTGACCCATCAAGATTTAGGGAAAGTATTGCCACACTTTGGAACCAGGCAATTTTCCACCAGTTCAACAATTAAACTAATATATTCTCTGCTGATAATCAAGAGTAAAGAGCCAAATAAAGTCATGCACATTCTATTGGCAAATGGCATCTGTGGCTGTTGAGTTTTACTGTAACTCGTTACTCTATCATTCACAGTCAACTTAATTTGCAAGTTATGTCCTAATGGATGTAAAGACCTGTGTTGATGTATCCAGGATCTAGCAAATGTTGAAGATAAGGAACCTATTATGACTAATCCTTGGGAAGAGAAAGTCTGCAAAATGGCTCAAACGAGTTTACTGCAGGGGAAGCAGTTTTACTGTAGGGAGTGGGTTTTCCACAAGCTTCAGCATTGCCTCCAGGAGAAAACCAACTGCTGCAATAGTGCTGTCAACACACCATCCCTTGTAATGAATTCTGGGAATAATGCTAGTGTTGTCTCTGGAAAAGGAGCTGCCTGGGGTGTGTTGTTGGTAGGAGGGCCTGGCAGTGGCAAGACAGCCCTATGTACTGAGCTGTTGTGGCCAAGTTCACCTATAAGCTTGCAGAGAGGTTTACATCGCCAGGCTTTGGCCTTTCATTTCTGCAAAGCCCAGGACTCTGATACTTTGTGTGTTGGAGGGTTTATTAGAGGTCTAGTTGCCCAGATCTGCCGCAGTGGACTACTCCAAGGATATGAGGATAAGCTAAGGGATCCAGCAGTCCAAAGCCTCTTACAGCCTGGAGAATGTGAAAGGAACCCAGCTGAAGCATTTAAAAGGTAACAATAACAATGCCATGATGTTCTGGTTTCTAGTGTTTTCTAGATTTTTTTTTTTTTTTTTTGGTTTTTTGTCTGTTTTTAAATTTTGTCGGGTACCTGTACTACTTCTGTACATTTGGGGATAATCTGCAGTTGTAAATACACATGTTTACTTTTGAGTATTGAAGGAAACAAAATTTAAGCTTTGTGTTGTACAGGATATGGATTAAAAGTATGTTTTTTTTTTTACTTGTTTAATAACAGAATGTGAAGCACTGCAGAAACTTAATTTTTTTCAAACTTACGGCAATTGTTTATTTACTTTTCTAATGTTATCTATAACTAATAAGGGATATTTGTTGTTATGGTAGAGAAAACCACTTAGCTGCCTGGAGAATAGGCTACATTTTCAGGGAGGGTGAACTGTATGTGACGCCGAATTTAAAGGAACTCTCAGCATAGAATCTACTATCTTTTTTGCTTATAGTATTATTATTTCTCTAAGTAAGACAAGTTCTTTTTGAAAGAGATCATTGGCCATTGAGAATCTGAAGAAAATCTGTGTTTGGGGTTTAGTCCCCTTTCAAGTAAACAAAAAGTTAAGTGGTACTTTTAAATATGTGATATTTATAAAATAATGAAAATCTGGCATAATTTTAGTACTTGTAGCGAGCAGTATGAAAAATAACTTTTTCCTAACTTCAGTTAAGCATTTTTCCATTGATAAATGGATTGGTCTAAGAAAAGAGCAAGTGAGCAAAGAAAACATGATTCCTTGAAAATAATTTTTTGCATATCACCCCTCTGCTCATTGTAAAAGAAAGCAGGGAAATTGTTAGTTTTGTGCTTGTTATTGCCTTACTGCTGCTTGAATTACTCATTTTGCATATACTTTTATCCCTACACTGTAAGTATTTCTTAGCAGGCAAAATTTGTTCCCCAAAGCTGCAGGTATACTGTGTGGTGATTAGCGTATGTGTATGTATGTGTGGCTGTATGTCTGTATGTCTGTCTGTTTCTCTGTGTGTCTCTAGGAGTCATTTAAGCAGGATTTGAATTGCTTTGAAAGGAGTGGTGTTTATTTTTATGATGTCCTCATATCTAATGGTATGAAAACTATTAATTTTTAAGTGATATTGAAAATATTAATAATAGAGTAAACACTATGTGTCAGTGTTCTAAATGATTTACAAATATTAAATTATTTTCATAGTAATCCTGTGAAATAGATACTATTATTCCCATTTCATGGATGAGGAAACCGATGCACAGAAAGCCTAAGTAACTTGTCCAAGGTTAAAGGCTAGTAAGTGGCAGAGCTGGGATTTGAAGTATGTGTGTATGTGTACAGGTTTGTAATCATAGAAATTCTTTAAAGGACTTGAGGGTGAGGGTAGATTAGAAGTTTGTGGAGGACAGGGGTGTGTGTCACAGTTGTGACTTGAGTGTAGTTTTCAGATTACCCGTGTAAATGATACAGTAGTAGTCTGGAATGATCTTTATGGATAGTGGTATGGAATTCAAACATGGGATGGGTATATTAAAGTCACCTAAAGGGATGTGTCTCTACGAGGTGTGATATTATTGCAGAGTTTTTAATGTATAAGTGCAGTCCAATAAAAGGGCAAATCTGTTAATCTTTTGCTGTTAGCCACCAACATCAGGGTTAAAACTAGTAGATCATTTTTAAATAATAAGTAAATCTGTTAGGTGATACTGGTGCACAAATATGAAATACCAGGTTCAGTGGACAGTTTTAAATATGAAATCACTGTGTATAGAATCAATGTCTTTAATATATAAATCTCTACTTTTTAAGAGACTTAAATCTCTGTACATAAACAACTCTTTTCCTATTGACTTCCTACTTTTTCTGAAGATCCTATCACTAGTTGAAGAGCTGAATTTTTATTTTTTATAAGTTATTTGGATTTAATACCTTAGGAGATCAGTTTCAAAGAACTTAGCTAACTAAGTTGAACTTAGTCCAACTAAATTAGGTAATTATACAATATATTTTCTTGGAATTTATATGTAAATTTCAAATGTCTTTAAATGTTTAAAATAATGTCTGATAACTATATTTTTGCTATATTCTGATTTTGAACAGATCTTTCTGTATGGTATCATAGATTTTTCTGAAAAAATGTCCTTCTACTTAGATGGTCCTCCTATTTTTTTTTCCCTGTGTGAATTTTAGTTATTAACTAATTGAAGGGAAATAAGCAATTAGAGCTATATGTAAAAACCACACCAGTCCCGATTTTCTGACTGACAGAAGAAATTAATCACTTTGATAGAGGAAGCATAGTCTTTCTATTTGGAACATTTTGGTGCTTTTAATTTCCTCCTGGATCTTTCAAAAACCTGGGTCACTTTCTTTCTTCATCATTAAAGTAATTAATCATTAAATTAGGTGACTCTGGTATTGTAACAACTGTTTCTGATAATTCATAGAGTACACTCTAAGACTGTGAAGCTCTAATATAACCATAGTGAAATGCAGATATGAGAATACAATCCATAGTTAAAGAGAAATATTTTTGCATAGTCTATGGCATTAGATAATCTAAGCCTTTACTTTTGGACAGAGAGTTAAGATTTTATTTTAGGTTTATTGGTGATTGATTTGTTAAATAAGTCCTTTAGAGAATTTTAATAGGAATCTATTTTATTTAGGCAGGGAGAAATGTAATTCAACAGGTAGGCAATCATTGTTTTCAAGAAGTTATAATATTTTAAGGGAGACAGATCAGAGGTTATTATAACATGGTGGGAGATGAAATATAAGCAAAGTAAAATATTTTCACTTTTGAAAAAATTCAAAACCACTTTTTTTTTTAACATCTAACACTTGATAATATTGACGGTTTCATATATTCATGTGTGAGACAATTTAATAGTATTGGAAAACTGATAAAAATCTTAGTTCTTCACAGTTCCACAAAGTTGGGGAAATTGCAGAGAAGCGATTCAGTATCAAATGCATTTTATGTACTTTTCTTCAGTTTACTTCCTCATTTTTTCCCTAGTGTTTATCTTCAATGATACTAGATAAAATATGTAATACCACAAAAAAACTTCTTACATGAAGTCATGGACCTACCTGGTAACTTGTTAATTACTGGTCTTTTTCTATATGATAATAAAAATAAAAGGAACATTATTTTAATCTAGTTAAATGTTGCTGCTTTCTTTCCTTTCTGACATGATGTACTACCTTGATTTTTAGATTTAGTGGTCACAAAATTTCTTCTGACATTCATTCATTCTTAGAGCAAATATTTGAGAGTCTTTTTTTTTTTAAGATTTTATTTATTTATTAGAGAGAGAGAGAGAGCACAAGTAGGCAGAGCGTCAGGCAGAGGGAGAGGGAGAAGCAGGCTCCCCGCTGAGCAGGGAGCCCATGTGGGGCTAGATCCCAGGACCCTGGGATCATGACCTCAGCCGAAGGCGGATGCTTAACCGACTGAGCCACCCAGGAGCCCCTTGAAGAGTCTTTTGTGTTTTAAGCACAGTTCAGCTGGAGATATTTATTGAGAACCTTGTCTGTTAAGTAGAGTTCAGGTGTAGATAAATCAGTGAATAGAGCAGACAAAATGCCCTGCCTTCATGGAGCTTAAATTCTTAAAATAATATTTATCTGATTTCTATAAAGAAATAATATTTGGGGTAAATAGTTGTTATAGTGTCCATACAATACATGAATGTTTTAACACTAGTTGGAAGGAATTATATGATCTGCTAAAGGGAATGATGAATGAAGACCCATTAATTTCTATTTTTCCCTTTTTCATTTTTCTCTCTTAATTGGTTAAATTGCAAAGCTATTGTTACTGTGTTTAGAGTTTTTTTTTCTCATTTCTGTTGATGGAACTAAGTTGATGACAGTTACATTTTTACTTGAGAATTAGAAGCTGATTTCTTTCATTTTGCCTTTTCTCCTTCAGGCTCTTATTGCAAAACTTTGTATATTTTGTGTATTTTCTAGAGTTAGTGTTAGCGTTTCCTGGTAGTCATAAAACCGTAAAACAAATCTGTTATTTTTGACAGAAGTGTCAAGGTATCTAAGTTAGGGAATGTGAGAAAGAGTTTCAAATCTTAAGCACAGTTCAGATGTGCTTAAATAACATGGTTATTTCGTTCAACAAGAATCTCTTTTTTTTTTTAAGATTTTTATTTATTTATTTTGACAGAGAGAGACACAGCAAGAGAGAGAACACAAGCAGGGGGAGTGGGAGAGGGTGAAGCAGGCTCCCCGCCGAGCAGGGAGCCTGATGCGTGGCTTGGTCCCAGGACCCTGGGATCATGACCTGAGCCGAAGGTAGACGCTTAACGACTGAGCCACCCAGGCGCCCCAAGAATCTCCTTTTTGAAACTTACTGTCATGGTCCTTGAACCCAAGGATGTTTTTTGAGATTTAGATGGATGTGGTGCTGGGAAATACAAATTTTTGTTCCTGGTAGATACCATTCTCTAATTTTTATTTCTAGATAACAGTCTGCAGGACCAGGTGTGAGTTTTCTATGTGTGATAACAATTTTCCTTAGTAAAAAGATTTTGTTCTCTGTAATGTGTAAATGGAATAAAATCGTGATGAAGAATTAGGATGACTGACTAAACTTTGAGAGTTTGGCAAGAAAATGTGTTAGTAGTGAAATGCTTGTTGGAAAAGAATTGGAAACTGGAAGACCAAACTGACATTTGTTTTTTATGTCAGATAGGAATCCTCAAATGGTTGAATCTTTTCTCTAATCTTTTTACTTCCTTCTCCTTGAACATTTATAATTTTTCACTTGTATCTCTCTAGATTTTTAGCTTCTTTTGTAGTTATTTATGCATCTCTCTCTATTATCTCCTTTATTAGGCATATGCTTCTTCATGACATTATTCATGACTGATTAATTTTTTATATTTACCGTAGTGCTTTGAACAGCATTTTGCATATAGTAAGTGCTAAGTGATTATTATGCTACTTACCTATCTAGAATATGTTTGAACCTAATTGAAGGGCAGCT